CCGGGGGGGGGGGAGGGCGGGGGGGCTAAAATCACCCCCTGACAGGGAGTAGGTAATTGTGATAAATTGATCGAGGGTTAGAATGCGGACCATGACCTGCATCAGTTAGTCTATTGGGGTCAACTGTTTGCGTCTGGATTCGGTTCGCGTTTGATCGAGAAAAATTCATACATCACAGCAGGAGGAAAACTGGTGAGGTTATACCAGTGAGTGTGGGCAATTTATTTTCACTGTGTTGCAACTTGCCAGCAGGGAAAATGGCCCTGTACTAAGCGGGAGCGAATAAAAAAAATCACGAACAGAGACAGCTATTTCGAGAGAGTATATATATATATATATATATATATATATATATGGCGAAAAAATCCACGTAACTAAAAACCACTAGCCCGTGTCAGAGACAAGAGACTAAGTCCGGATGCAAAAGCGGCACCAGTCCCAGTAGTAACTGTTCAATATTTAATGAGTAGTAAAACAATTATGCGATAATAGTCAAGTTGAATACACTCACCGAGAGCAACCATCCCTGTGGATTATTCAAAGATGAAATGTTTTTTTGGTAGTCGTTTGTACAGATGGTGTGCACACGGGGCACATTTTGTTTGATTTGAACAACGTTTGCGAGCGGAGGAAGGAGAAGCAGAACAAGGGAGGTGGGATCAGAGAGAAAGTTCACAATTGCATTGATTATATCGAAAACAAGAAGTGCAGCATACACATAAGATCAAATATCCTATTCGAAATGTCCCTGAAATCGGGTCTTTTATTCTCATTTCGAATAGATTCGTTCCGGGTAAAACAACCACGACAACAACTACTGATCTGTTATTCGTAAACAGAACCTGAGTGAAAAATAATTACCAAAATGGAAATGTCTAGCGTGAATTCCAGTTCGCTTAGTTGTGTGACTGAGACACTTGTGCGGGGGTTCAGATTGCCTATCAATTGCTCAATCGAGAACAATATACAGTATTTTCTGCAAAAAGCTTTGTTTCCGGTGAAAACGTTTCATTGAGGATGTTCGAAATAGGTGTGCTGCATCAATAGCCAAAAATATCCACTGGAAACACATCATCAATATGGCTGAGGAAGTTACTTCACGTTACCTATAGAACTACAACTCTCAGTTAACGCTGACGAGAACTAGGCATTCAGGTAATCGCACTCCATTCTATATAAAACACTGATGGCTGTTTGCCACATTAGCTGCTTCTAGCTGATTGATGTCTAAAACTTACAGGTGACTATTTATTTTAGTTTTTTCCATACAAATGAGCCGAACTCTGCATCAACTGGGGTCACATAGAAATAACGTCAGAAATCTTTCTTCTTATTTCACAATGATATGCTTTCTGCTGAAGTGAAATGCAGTGCCTCTTTGTTCTGAGCAAAGGGCGCTTGAATAATGTCAACGAATATGTCCGCCAGGCGATTGTACTGTAGACGGTTTGGTGATGGCGAGCGGATAAGACGTATGACACTGTCGACAAAATAAACGAGCAAAGGTTCGAAAGCAACCAGGGGAACTAGTGAGTTATCCTGAGGTTTCACAAAAATTGAGATAAGGAAAAGTTTCCGATAGCTTTGTCCTTAGTCCTTGAAGTGGTAGTAAGTAGTAAGTCAGTAAGCACCACCCAAAACCGGATACACATCATTTTGGTTCCACGAAATTCGCACGTGTTCACCCGTGGCTAACCTGGTCATGACGACAATTCATGTTCCACTGAATCTGTGGACATCCGTTCATCTATCACCATCGCACACAAACGCCCTGTGAGCGCCGTTCAGACCAACACGACGCCAGCCCAACACTCGTCGTGTCATGTGATCGGCACGACCGCCCAGCTCGCATGCAGACGACTTTTTGTTGTTGATCGATTGATTGGTTGAAGGACTGCAGTCGTTCGTCATCGAAACGGTCAACATGCAGTCACAGTTAAGACGGTAAACTCAATTTCCTAGACTGGTAAAAACAGCGAACTGATTATGTCATACAGGCGTGGAGTTATTACCATGGTACTGTTCCCTTCTATCCAACGGTGCTCTACTCTTGTTTAAACACATTTAAATAACCTTTGCTTTGGAATTCATTGAGTTAGTTCGATCTGTTGATTCAAAAGTATAATTAGATAATACAAAGTTGGTCTTATTTTTGATTTATCAACCGATCACTAAAAATCACTCGCTGCCTCTGAAAACACACTGGGCAGTTGAACAACACCGCTCTATAGATCGGCACTAATTCTGAGCCAGTAAGCAGGGCGCGGTGAAACCTGATCACTGGTTGCAATAAATGGCGCAGGATGAATCGAATCCGATCGTCAGTTGGACGCGAGCGTGATAGGCAAATCGGTTATTGGTCATTGCACGCTTTCATTGCTGGCACCTACCCGAGCAGTTCACGAGACCGTTATATCTACAAAATAGTACTCGAGGACTTTGGGTCAAACAAGAGAAAACGGATAACACAAACGCGACTGTGAAGCGAATGCTAAGAACAGTTAATCAAGATTTAGACAACCTCGGTGGTAACTTGTGGAACAAGTAATCGTAATGTCACAGGATAATACAATGAACAAGATGTGGAGTCAATGAGCGGAAAAACAGACCAGTATGCATGAAAAGAAACAGAAGAGTAATTTAGATAAATAAGTTCCCTGATTCAAGGGAATGGAGCAAGTCTAGCGTCGTGTAATTTTCTTGTTCCGGTTTGGTCCGCTTTCTGTATGGAGCGAAACAACTTTAATTTGCAATCATAAGGAAAGGGAATAGATAAAACGAGGGTTCGCAATAACTTGGCGTGATAGGATAGGAGAAGGCAGACGAGCTAGATGTGCATAACACCAACCGCCATGAATATAATTGGCATCGCTGGGAGTCGTTAGACAAAACGAATGCGGAAAAAAATCGGTTTATATCCTCTCATTGGCAGGCGACAATATACCGTCAACAATCAAAACACACACACACACACACACACACACATATAT